CAACGCAGAGCCTGGGAGACTCAGTGAACATGTGACAGCTGTGATTTACTGTGAGGAGGAGAGGGTTCATACCTGTAGGCTGAGCAAGCATATAGCACAATGTTGCAGTTGGACCAGAGTCAGTGAAGTTGAACTTCATGAAACTATTCATGAGGGGAACAGTCTGTTGAACATCTACTATAAAAATGGCCACACATGATACAGTATGTGACAATGCTCAGGGTGGAGTAGAGAGAAGTCGGCTGTTATGCACATGAACTCAGTGAACGTTGGTACCACACACGCCCTGGGTGAATTTGAATGACATGATGTGATAAGCCTCAAGTGGCAAAAAAGGCAACGTTAACTTTATTGTCACAGTACTGTCATATTCAAATAACTGATAAAAATCATTGCTCACAAGTAAAGGTTGACATTGTAAGATCCCCTGCAGCCGCATTAATTCACTTGATTCAGCTGAAGTAAACATGGATTTGTCTTTTTATTTTTTGAAATTTTGAAAGTTTGCTTCAAATTAGTTTGAAACTTATATGGAAATGTGGATTGGATATTTTAGCTTCATTTTTGTACAATGGGAGGAAGTTGAGACGCTTAGTCCATCTTTACATGCAGTCAACAGTTAAAATGCATAATTGGCGAGCTTCCCCCAAGGATATGTCAAGTGCAGTGGCCTCAAAAGTCTGGAAAGAGCAAAGTCAAGGCACTTCGACCATTTGTCCTCACTGGCAACAGTTTGTATTGACACTATAGATTTGCTCCTTTGTCCTCTGCATGGTTTTAGTCCTTGTTGAAAGGTGATGCTGCTGAATAGTGACATGTGACATGAGCTCCTTCACCTGTAGGTAACAAATTCTGATGTCCAAGGACAGCGTACACAAAGGAAACCGACCAGTGGCCCCAACTCCCTCAACCAAAGTAGAGAGAAAGTGTCCAACAGGCGGGGCTGATGGTATTCAAATGATGTCCTTGTTTGTCCATAAAAAATAGAAGAGTCATGACAAAACAAAAAAGGCTCCATGGGACAGCTCGGCCTCACGCAAATCATCTGCTGTTGATACACACACCACCTCGTGACCGTGAATACACTCTTTAACACCCCTCTCCTGACACACGCACACGCAGAGAGAGAGAGAGAGAGAGTAACTAAAGTAGCCAAATGCGCATATATAGACATTCAAATAGCATGCAGCCTCACAAAACACATGTGTTTGCATATGAGCTCACACACAAAGACACACACCACACCAACGTTCTTTTTGTGGTAAGTGGGACGAGAACGGGATCACTCCATTTGTTGTCCCACACAAAGGTGCTTGTTAAATCATTATCTGGGAGAGCCTCTTCTCCCCTCTCCAGGCAAACTGACCTGGTCACAGCTAAAATGCACCCCCCCCCACCCAAACCTCAACTCTTTTGTAAACAAAAGCTCGACCATTTGTTTTAGCCACTAAAATCAGAATGAAATGGGACATTTGCAAACCAAATGAGGCTTATATGGCAGGTTCTTGTGGCCCGTCCAGAGCAGAGGCTAATTGTGTGCTTCTCCACTCTAAACAAATGACTGAGAGAGAGAGGGGGGAGACAGAGGGAGAGACTTCTGAGGTGACCAAGGGGAAGAGCTATCTGATCACTAAAGCAGAACACTATAGCTATCATTGCTCAGAACAGAAACATGAGATATATAACATTTGCTTCTCTATTATCAGATTTGACAGTTGTGTATATGACACACATACCTTTATTAAGTTTATATATACATGTATATATCTGCATGTGTATGGCCTGTGGGAGGAAGTTAGGGTACCCGGAGTAAACTCCACACACAAAGAACCGGGATTCGAACTGGGAAGATGACAGGAAACCCTGATTAATTAATACATGGAAGAAGACAGGAAACCAGCCGGTCCTTTGCTTTGCTCATGAGAAGTAGTTTATTAATTCCATGTTTTTATTTCTATTTATTTGATGAGAAGACTGGTGGGGGCAAAGGTGAAGAAACGATGGTGGGTGCAGTTAAAATGTGGAAAATATAACAAACTGAACCACGTTGTAGTGGTGCATAGCAGAAGCTTCTCTGTGTGGGCGAAGAGGACATAGATAGCTTTTCACTTTCATGTTGTGCAGTCCCAAAGAGTTGTTAAATTTATAGGAACTTAAAGAATTGTATTAGTATTTATTTCCATTTCCACACACAGGACTTTGTCTGAACTCAAGTTACAAGTGACCTCATTCTACTGCTGTATTTGAAATAACACTTGTAAGTGTTTATACACTTAAGTCCTGAAGTATCTGCGTATAACATAGAGATGAATCATCTTGAAGTGTGCAGCAGAGGATGATGGTATCATTCATGATGTTACCACACAGAAATTATTCAAACAGTTATAGACAATCAAGACCCATAATTCAGGCAGCTGAGAAAACTGTAAATCAATCGTCTGGATACTACGTGTCACTCATAGGCCACCGTCTGCCTGGTTTTTCCACATCTGAAATTGTAAAAATAAATGTGAGAAGTAACTATTGCATATGAGCTTCACAACTTCTCAAAAGTTCAGGTCGTTGGAAAGTGTGGGAAATATACTATATATATAAAAGTATATGTATATTGTGACTGGCTTATACTATAAGACAATCTGATTGGGTGACAGGGGGAAGGTCAAGACAAGTGTTAACAAACACACAGGGAAAGACAAAATGGGATCACACACACACACACACACACGTAAACACACACACACACTCTGTGGTTTAATGTGCATGCCACTGTGACTAACATTACCACCCACTGAATAGCACCTGTGTGTGTGTGTGTGTGTGTGTTTGTGTGTGAGAGTGTTTGTGAGACCTTGGAAAGAGGTCATGGCTGGTCACAGTCAGAAGTCTCTCATATGGATGGGATCAGCCGCTGCAGAGGTCAGAGGACACAGGGTCAGAGGTCGAGCTTTCTATGCAACTCGCAGGTCAGGGTGAGGCTGAGGGGCTTTCCATGTGAAGTGAGCGGCGCTTAGACGGGATAAGTGGAGCACAGAGAGGCCTGATTTACGACCCGGTTTCAAGCAACTCGCCAATCATGGCATGGTCACGTTATCACATCTGTTGCTGAAGGTAGAATAATAAATGCAAACGTCCATTTATCGTATAACAAATATCATTATTCATAATTCAATTTATTTACCAGGTGTTTGGCCTTGATATAAGAGGAAGTTTGGGGTTTCCCTACAGACCTGATGCCCTCACCCATGAAGACAAATGTACAGTCTCTCCCTGCTCTGGCTGTGTTAGGGTGAAATATGGAAATTAGAGTCAAATGTATTTCCATCAGTAGTCGTCAGATCCAGATGGGTTCAGAATTAATCTAATCAGTTATACAAAACTACATCATTTGTAATGCACTAGTTTGTCTCACGATATCAAACATTTGCCAAGAGAAACTCCAGTTTGTTCAGCGGTGCAGTGATGATCTGAATGACAATACATTTTCATTTTTCAGTTTGAAAATGGCTAAGGCAACATGGATATTTAGCTCTGAACTGAATCTCAACTGAGCTGATTGTTGATTTAAAGAGATGATCTTAATGAAGTATTGGTAAATAATCAATGTCAATAAAAACTAGTAGTTTTCTAGTATGAACCAGGAACTTGCAAAATATGAGCAGAACAAATACAGTGGCCTGTGTTTATTATAGATAATAACAGAAGTCATAGTACAGTGTCCTGCACCTGGTGGACACACAAATGAACTGAACTATAGCTTTATGCTTCCTCTGGGTATTTGTGTCTGTTTTTCTTTAACCATAGTATACTCATCCTTAACGTTTTGTATTTTCTATGTATTGGGCTGTGATGTAAAATTAATGTCACTTTATTTCTTATATGTTAGAAGAGACCAGCTTGAACCATGTTTCAGTCTGAGGTAGCTGCCTTTAAAACACAAACATATAGTGTAGCACCTTCTGTGTTCATTTTGTCTTCTTCTGTCTGTATTTGTGCACAAAATGAGCATATTGATTTTTTTTCACTTCTCTGTATTTCTCTTCAGGCGAATCCTTTTTTTTCTGCCTCTGTCTGTTTTTAAGTGTTTGGATAATAGATGTGCGATTATCAGGAGAAATCCAGATTGAGCAGTTTCTTTTCTTTGCTTACAGAAAGTATTCCCACTGAAAGACTCAAAGACGTTGACGTGACATAAACACATCTAGTGAAAACATTGCTGATTAGTCTCTCACCTTTCGGACTCAATGCATAAGAACAACTGCTCAAACACCGTATGTAGTGAGCAACAAATGAGCATCATTAGTTTTATTTTGTTGTCTTTTAGGAGAAGTGGAGCACAAAGTGAGTTCAGGTTCTGCTAAATGCACGTGCACGATGTATATTATTACATGGAGAGGAGCGGACGAGAGAGACTTGACTTGATTTGCACTGACACTTGTGAGGAGGGTTCACAGCTTCTACTAGAGGAAGACAGCGTGTCCCTGTGTGTGTGTGTTTCTGTGTGTGTCTTTCTGTTTATCTGTGTGTGTGTGT